TGGATCGATCGGCTCGAGCCCTGCTGCTCTTTCGGGTCGGAAAGGTGAAACTTCTCAGGAGCTGCACGTCCACCTTGTGTGTGCCCCCTCCTGTCCGCGCTGCACTGCACAGCGGGTCCTGGCAGCTCGCTCCCTGGAACAGTAGCTGTCTCTCCCCAAACTTCATTGATGAATTTATTTCCTCTATTGATTTGCTGACTGTCAGGCTGGTGTAATTTCTTGCGAAGGTTTCGGACTTCTCATTTCAGAAGTCCTGCCTGCTTCCCATCTACCTTTTATCTGTGTGTCGCTGCCACCTTGTTAGCTACCCTAAAGGTGGCTTGGAAGAGTTTATGGGAGAATATTGTTGAACTTCAGTAATCAAGTTTCCAGATCTTATGCCTCCTGTTTAATTTATTAGACTAGTTATTTATTCTGTTGATGATAATCTGTTGCTGGTTTCTATGGAGATGTTAAACTGATCTCTTTCAGAAATCAAACTCCATATGCACTAAAACGTTTAAAGGAGCAGCGTCCCCTTTTGTTTTCAGACTTTGTACCTTTTCAGCGCTTTTACTGGGCTCCTGTATATTTTATATATTAAAGCCTGAAGTTGGAGCTTTGAGTAAGACAGAACTTATTATGGCTAACAGAAAGTCAGGGCTTTGATCCTTTTTTTTGCATCATCATTTAAAACAGATCATTTTTCCCCCCTCATCACACAAGATAGCAGAACCCTTTCAAGATCAAAGCGTCCAGCTAAAAACTATTGTTTAAAAAAAAAAAAACAGTAAAAGAGACAGTTAAATTAGGGGGATGTTTCCTTAATCTGCTTATTTTGTTCTAAAGATTTTTTTTTTTAGCTTTGTCAACACAACAACAACAGAAACTTGTGGCAACTATATTGTTATTTTTATACCTTCCAAGTCTTTTTAAAGTTAAAATAAGTTCAAAGTCAAATATCTCCAAAGATAAAGTGCTTGTTAGGGTGTTTTTATTACTTGGTTTCTAAATGTGGAAGGTCAGAATCCAGAAAGCTACTGCATTAGAGAAGGTTTTAATAGTCTTTGTCTCATCTTAATGAGAGAGCAATCTAAAAAACATTTTCCCTGCAACGTTTATAAATTATTTCCAAGAAGTCTCTCTGCATATAACTCAGTTTTCATTATTTCTTAACTTGTCCATTGCATTATTACATGTGATTCAGTGTGATATCACTTTAGAACTGAAGTAATTGAGGTGAGAAATTTTTTTTTATGCTTAAAATTTGAGAAGTCCTGGTAAGCCGGTGTGTTGATCAGGTTGATGCACAGTGCACACCAGTTGTGGGGTCTTGCTCATCTTTTAGAGAAAAGTTAAAATATTTGCAAAAAATATACTACCAACACAATGCATGTCTAACACAATACAAGAACCCCTTGTTGTACTTTCTTTTAGTGTATCTTCAAAATGTTTCCACTCCCTAAATGAGAGATATTTTTCTTCCTGGTGTCCTTCTATACTGATCCTAAAAATAAAAGAATAATCCTAGAGGAAATAGTGTATGTAACCCTTATAACTCATATATATTTGTGTGTGTATATACATTTATATTTCTCATATATATATACACATACATACATACATACATACACACACATATACGGAAAACATCAAGTGGTTTATGATCTGTCCATACTAGACTTAAATATTTTTTCCTTGTAAATTGTTTCCTATTTTTTTTCCTGTGTGTGTGTGTGTTTGTGTGGGTGATTTGATGTGTGGGAGATCATTTAAAATTTTTTGTAAGTATTCTGTTTATTTGTTTGATTTGAATTGCAAACAGAATTGACTCTGACAAGTAAAAAGAGGAGGGGGAAAAAAGGAAACACTATGGCTTTAAACTCAGGAGTTTGCATATTCTCCTTGTATCTTTCCCCTTTGCTAATTATTGTGTTGTTTTCAGAGCAAATATGTCATATCCATGGCGACCAGGCAGGTTTATTGTCTTTCAGAAGCAATAGCTCACATAAGTAATTAATGACTTCTTTTTTTTTCCTCTGGCTTAGGTTAAACAGATCATTCAAGGAAAGTCATATCTCTCTCTCTCCTTCTCTCTCTTTTTTTTTTAGCCCAGTGACATAAGAACATGAGTTAGAACAAGAAAATACTTTAACCAAGAAGTCAACAGCTTATTTTTCCTCATTTCTTTTTAAAAGATCTAAGTGTCAGCTTTCCACACACATGACATTGTCATTCTTGCAGTTTCAGAGCGAAGCCTTTGTAACAGGGAAAAGCCACTGAAATCTGGAGTTAAGTTGGTGTTGTGCAGCTGAGCAAAGTGTCTCTGGGTACATGTGGCGGGATGTTGTTCTTGCTTAAGGGTTTTGCTGTGTACTGGGATTAAAAACGTCTCCCTCACTTTCCCCCCCTCCCTCCAATTCTATCTGTATTAAAATCAGTGTTAAAATAAAGGTGTGTTTTTGTATCTTGCAGATTGTAATTCAAACAGTTTCCAGGAAAGAATTAGTAATTCATTTTTATATACAGCATATATACACACATGCTTGAGCTCCACCCAAAACAATCAAGCGAACTGGAAAAAAAACCTTATTTCCTTTTTCTTTTCAAGCCCAAGCAAACTTGCACAGTAACTTTCAAAAGCTTATTAAAAATAGCCCCCCATTTTTGCAAGGAGTTTGCTGCAGGTATGAATCTTGTTCTTTCCCTTTCCAACTATGTTTCTTCCTATTAAAGCTGAATTTGCTATCTGTCCAAGCCAGAGGCTGGTTATGCACTATGATTTACTGAGGTGATGGTTGCCCCCTCCCACACTCCCCCCAGCACCTTCACCCCCGTTTTGTTTTTGCTAATTTCATTTTCAGAAGGATTTATACACAGTCCAGCTATATAAATTCCTTGGGAGATAAAAGCGACACACACTTCCATAAACAAAGGCTTTTACTTGCATCCTGTCTTCCTTTTTTTCTTAAAGTAAAAAGGAAAAAAACCCCTAAAAACAAAACCCCAAGCCATCTGATTGAAGCAGGTATCATAAATGCATGCTGGTAATGATTCTGTATTCCACAATGCTGCTACTTTAACTTCTAAAATATGTTTCCTTTCTGGTTTGTAACATTAATCAAAGAGCCGCTTCCTTCCAAATTTCCACAGACTGGGGCTAATTAGAACCACTCGAATCATATTTTGTAAATTCCATGTGGATGTTACTTTAGGTTTCAAGATTGCGAGTGCTTCAGGTTTAGTCTGGCTAGCTACTCTTAAGGTTATTTTTATTAATGTTTCTGTCTCCCAAACCAATTCAGGGTTTCTCTCCATTTATCCCAAATAGATTTGTGGGTTCACACACGGGTATGTCGGAAATAGACGTTACAAGTAGGAAAAAGAAAAGCCAAGAAGGAAGGAGATTTTGCAGTGTAGTTCCAAAGAGCAACAGAGAACCTCCTAAGTAACGTGAAGCTGAGGATTCAACAGACTTGATAATTGAGCCCTTAACCTTCTGATGTCTGTATCAGAAAAACAGAGTCTAGAGGAGGGAGACAAAGAATAAAAGCAAATACTGGGTAGGAGGAAGCTGAGGAGATGACTGAAATACTGAGGTACAGCTCAGGATACATATAGATCAGCATTATGGTGTTTCCTTAGGCTCAGTTTTTCCCTCTGGTGAAATGTAGCTGGTTTAAAGGTGGCTTCGGGAGATCCTGATGTTTCCAGTGCAGCCGAGTCTGGCATTTCTGTGGTGTGTGCAGATGGAACTTGGAGAGACTTCTCTTGGAATTTGTGTTTATGTTTCC